GTCTATTTTCTTTGGTTTGATAAAAAATATTAAGTTGCAAGTGAGGAGAAAATTAATGTGGTACATTCTATAAATTTTATACGGTATATTTTTATCCATAAACCTATTCAGTAATACTTACAGTATAATTAGCAATTATTTTATATACATTAAAGTAGTTATTATTCAGGGATAATTGTTAGATAAGCAATAATTATGGGCTTATTTTCGATTATAATTTTATGTCTCTTAATAATGATAATGATTTATGATTTGTGATGTCTAAATTAAGTATACTAAAATTTTATCAAGTGTAAAAAATAACCTATTGGCAATACTCTAATATCGACACCTGAAGTCTCATTATACTACCTAAAGCAAATGGTTAGAGTAGCTTTTAATGGCATCCTGTGTTCAATTTTTAATGTAAAAGAAAAAGTGATTCTATATGTCGTAATTTACTCCGGTCCAGTCTATATCTGTACATAAGCAATAATAATAATTTTATACAGATTTATGGGGATGGATCATCTCGTATATTGTTATATACCTAGCAAGAAGTGTAACAAAGTGATTGAATACCGTATTCATTTTGTCATCAAAATATCAGATAGGAAATTATCTACTTCAATCAAGTAGTAGTATTAAGCAATCACGTGCTTTAAGAAAGAGACATGTAGTCAATTTGATAAAATGTATTTATTATTTTCAAGCAAATTAGAAGTTTACAATTTACTTTCTACTTTTATGGAATACTTGTGACTTTTAAAAGCTTGCCAATATCAATACTGAGTTGGTAGTTGTCTATTAAGAACAGAAAAATAGATTTATTTACCGAATCTTGTTCAGGCAATCGTTAGGTTTTATAAGAAATGGTCTAAATGAAAGTTATTTCAAGAAGATACATATATTACGCTGGAATAGTCTTTGATGTAATATTATAGCACTCAATCAGTACTAGTAATTTTTAAAATCGTATATTATTTACTTCCTTTTTAGACTGCACAATTTAGGAATTAATTATCATTATTAAAATCTTAGGAGTCTGTACTGTAGACCACTTGCAATTATAAGAATTAGTTCTGGTATTCCTTTGGTCACAATATACTGTACAAGACATTTAGCAATACTACTTGAGAAAGCTAATATTGTGTTATGTTTGCTTATAGATTATGATCGACTTTATTACTTATTTAAATACCTAAATATCGGATTGAAAAGTAGATATCACTAGCATGATATTACAGGATAATATAATGATCAAACAAGCCTTTCTGCATTGACTACATGTAGACATCTTGCTTAAAATTGATAGGATAAGAAGTATTATTCGTAGATTGTAATATTCGATATTACACTCTTTAACATCAACTTTAGATTGTATATTATTATTAGTAACCTATAATGTCTAGATCATAGATCATTAATCACCAATCAGTTGAAATCAGGGTTATATTAACCTTATTTTGATCAGTTTCTAATGAATTGACCTAAAATTATGGATGTAATGTATATTTGGAGGTTCCGAACTTGTTATGATCGATAGTGTCATCCTCATCAATAATAAGCATCAGATTTATGACTGGATATATCGGCTAGTATTTGCTATAAAATCTATATCAAGTCACGATAACATTAATAGTTTACACGTATTGACTTAAAAATCATAATTTCAAGGAATATTTTGAATTGTGATGGCTTGGATTTATTATGATTACTATCGCTTCTTACTACAATTATTCAAGTGTCCCAAGTAGACTACCTTTGACCTTTTCCTTGCATTATTACTTTATATTTCTATCTTGGCCAGTCTTGGCTGATCGTTGTTATAGAAAATAATTCCATTCGGGTATTTTTGAGCTTATATTTACTTTTTCTATTTAAAATACTATAAAAGAAGAAACACAGCACAAATTAAAGATTTTTATTGTAAGCGACACAGTTTTCCTGTCTTATTTAATTATATTGTTTAGTAATGAGACAAGCCGTCTATTATGGCTCGCCACTTTGGCCCTTTACCCCAAATAGCGGACTACATTACTTTTGTACAGCGATCAACAACGTCTATTCCTTGTTCATTAGATGAAAACAAAAGGATCACTAATTAATACAATTGATAGTTCTAACTATATATTTTAATTTAAAGAGACACATTAATTGATGCCGTATTGATAGAGAATAGATCGATAGCAAGTGATTAAGGTATTGAAAAATGATGCATTGGTAATGATATTTATTTAAGAGTCAATATACGCCAGCTGTGCCACCTCCATATCTTTAATAATGATAATCTCATGCCTACTGCCTACGATAAATTTTGTAATAGCGTACGATAACACTATGGCTAGAGATAGAGCGAGTATAGATATGTTTAGGGTCTTGAAGCCGCTGTAGAAAAGCGAATTCAAAGGAAAAAATTTGACCTGATTCATTCTAATTTATGATACGCCACAGCTACCAATGCGTAGGTTTTTTTCTATATCGGAGTCATTTTCTTTTATTTCTTGATCGATTAAGTGTAGTCATTAAAATGCATAAAAACAAACTAAGGCATGGTGCACTTTTATCAACAAACTCTTGCTCACTTAAATGATGGAATGAATTAATAGCAGGATATCAAATTAGTTAGTGAGCCACAAACAAACGTCCTTTTATTGTTAGTATAACTGTCGCCCGTTATTATGATATTATTGGAAGTTTCCTCCAGCATCTTTTTGTCATGGTCTCTTTCTAATTCCACCTACGTATCATTTATTGTTTAAATGTCCTCCTATTCGAGTTATATATTGAAGGATGAAGTAGAGATTAAATTTTAAATTTTTTGCTTGGGTGACAAGAAAAATTAGCTAAAACATTTATTGAATAACTGTTCTGGAAAAGTAAGTACTAATTAATTCGAGTCTGGCGTTTTAAAGCCTTGATAAGTACCGTTTGCCATAAAAATTGGATTGATCTGCGACAATACTTAGGATGTTGAATCATTGATTTTAGGAAGGTATCACATCCTCTTTGTTGTATGTTGTATTTTCAGAATTTTACTATTCTTAACGGATAAAATTGTCTTGCACAATGTAATCATTATAATTATCAGAACTTGTTCGACATGAGTAAAAACCCATTGCATTTATTCAGGTTAAATGCTACTTTTTCTTTGCGACTATCTAGTGTATCGGAGACTACCGTTGTACCAATCAATTATTTTTTTAATCTTATATTTTACATTCATATCTTTACAACCTAGACAGTAATAACTCATATTCTAGTTTCTTTGATTACTTACAATTATTATACCGTCATTTGCGATTAGAGGCGATAAGTCATAATCAATATCAGCGCTTTTTCAATTATTATAAACTTCAAAAGTTACCGATAGCGTCATGAAAGCGATCGTTCACAATTAGCGGTAATAGTCAACAATGTTTGGAGTAACGTATAATTACGATTTAAATCGAAAGTTCAGCATAAAAAATGTATCTAAGAGTCCTCTTGATAGATCTTCCTTGAAAATCATGTCATGTATTGAATGCTTGACTAGAAGATCAACAGTCTGTTTCGTGTCATGTTTTCTTTTCCCACAACATTGATCTCTTATGTCGATGTCCTTTGATGCCACGTAATGTATTTCCTAATTATAATCGAACTTCCATTTGTTTTGATAATAATGCAAAAAATATCCAAGTTGGAAAACAAACTACTCGCAGAACCTTTAAAGGATTACAGATAAGGTATTATTTTATCATTTTTGGCTATACCATCTTAAAAACCTTCTCGGTAAATTACGATCGTTCGTGATGGGAATTGTTACTTTATGGCACTTTAAGTGAGCTTATTCTATCATTACTTACGCGTATTTTGGTTAAAAAGCTAAGAACGTTTTCAGTACTTTAAAGGAAAGAAAAGGTATCGGTATGCTTTATTATGAAATTTATCTGACATGTTTACAGATGGTAATATGAATTTTCGAGGGATGAAGGTTAACTTTAGGCGAAGCAATCGCGATAACATGTGAAAGTGTGTACTTAAATTTATAACATTGAGCTGTAGTAATCAACTAATACTATCACTAGCTAACAAAATGAGCCTAAATGGTATTCGCTGCGAATCTGTTTTAGATGAAAAAAGTTTTCAAACAATTTTAATATTTTATACGTAAAAGACTGCACCGAAATTGCCATCTGGTCAGCTTCTTATCTCTCAGCGGAAGACTAAAATAACTAGTGACAGTTAGGCCATCTAATGCATCAAGATGATTGACATTAGTAATTCCTGAAAGGAATATCCTTTGGACTGGTAACGCTCCACGATGGAAGTCAGATAATTAATATCAATGGATAGGGTACTTTACCATAGATTCGACACTCACTTTTTCAGATCATTATAGTAAAATAAGTAATTCTTAATGCTAATTTTACTTTTATATTCATGAAGATTTTTAGCACAAAAAATCTCAATTCTTGACTTGCTATAATTCCTGTGTTTATGTATATTATACATTAGACTTAAAAATGTAGCACTTCTTTTATTTTTTGGGTTCTAAATATCAAAGCAATTTCCAAAAGCTACTGCAGTTTTCCTTTAGGAGAGACTAATATAAATATTTTAAATCTTGATGGGGTAAAATAGTTTGAGTTACCGTATTTATTTTTAAATATTATTGAAATTGATAGACATGAGAGTGCCGTTGAATTTTGATTATCAAGGTCCTAGAACATTTTAATTGTTATTTGCAAATAGAAATTGAATTTATAGTAATTTCTTTCAATTTTACTTTTACATAAATAAACATTACAATACTCCATTTAGTGCCATTTATTTATATTCATCAATTGACCTTGGTATAAAACGAGAAGAAATAACCTCATAACGTTTAATAGAGAGTTCTTTTAGCATTTCATGTCTTGTTTTATACCTAGGGATATGAAATATTTGATTGATTGGATGCTCCCTTACTCTCCATGATTGTTTATGTTCATTTATTTCCGTTGGTTTACAATTAATTTTGTCTATATTATCTAATAGATATGACTACAACAATACAAACAACCAGCAGGGATATTATTTTGTCGACACAACCTGAAGATCTACGAAAACAACAAGATCGATTCAGTAACTCATGTCATTTCAGTGAACTAAATCAAAGCCATACCGTGGATGAAAGTTTGCTATGTCGCGACAAAACTTCAACATTTGGGTTAGAAATGCATTGTGATAGCCATTCCGATCCAAATATTTGCACTCCAGGGGTTAAAAATGCCAATTTCTTTGGCAGTACCGCCGATGAATCGGATTTGCAGTCAGTACAATATCATAGTCAAGCGTCGTATACAAATGATGAAGATTCGCTGTTACCCTCATCAGCATCGTCTATTTATTCGTCATCATTTTACTCAGATAGTTTTAACAGCTTGTCAGGCCTTGTTACATCACCAAATACATTACCAATGCATTCATCACAATTTCTAATGCCACCATCACCAGCGCCATCGGAGCGCCGCCATTCTATCACAAGTACATGGCCTCAAAGTGCTGGTCACCATTTCCCTATGGATAATACTCAATTTAGTTATCAAGGTAAGATAGGAGTGTTGTATTCTATTCTTAAAAGCTGATGATTGTAACTTGGATGTTGAAAAATATTGCTTTAAATCTTAGGTACTCCTGTTTCATCTCCTCCCTATAATGGCCATAACAATTATGAACGATTACACTTGGTATCAGGGGACGCTTTCGACGATCAATTTGAAGAACTTAAGGTTACAAGAAAATTTCATTCTTTAAAAATTAAATAATTTGCTAATGATACATCGTATGTCGTTTATTATGTAGCATTGCTGCTATATTAACAACTAAGCGTGGTAAAAGATTTCCTTTTAATACAATTATTTCCTTTTAATGCTGCAGGAATCCTTAAAAGAATGGCTAGTTCTTCTTTGTGATCTAAAATTTGGTGATCGACTTAAAACTGGTTATAAAGGTTCCATCTACAAGTTAGTTTCGTATTCATATGATAACGTTGTAATTCGTTTGGGTAATTTAATATTTTTCTAATGCGACTAATACCTTATATCAGAGGCCGATGGCATGGAGAAGTTATGATTCATACAAGAGAGAATTTAAATAAGAAGGAAATTTCTGATTTATGGCAAGAAGTATCTATTTTAAGTATGATTCGCCATGACAATATCTCTTTATTTATGGGAGCTTGCTTCGAACCCCCATTTTATGCAATTATTACAAGGTAAAACATTAAATGGACATTCTAGTATTCATCGTTTGTTATAATTATTAATATGTGTACATATTAATGATAATTTTTTCGAACCAATTTGAGTGGAATTACGGTATACAGTATACGAGTAGATCACGTCAGAAAATGATTAAAAACATGATGTTGTAATTACATAAATATAACTACGATACTCGTTCTTAATCTTCTGAAATTGTAATATAGTATGTCTTATTTTCACTGTAGCATGCGTAAAGGACACTCATTATATCATCACACACATCATCGCCACGATAAATTATCGATGAAGACTAAATTGCAAATTGCGCGTCAGATTGCACACGGAATGGGTTATTTACATGCCAAAGGAATCGTTCATACCAAATTGTGTTCTAGAAATATTTTTCTAGAATCAAAAGTGAAAATTTCAATCACAGATTATAGCACTTATAATGGCACATCTTATCGTAGTGAAAACACCAGTATTATTCCACATGGCCATTTAACATATATTAGTCCTGAATTAATGAGAACAATGATTGTTGATCCACCGAATTTCAACATGTCCATGCCCTATACATATTATTCCGATATGTATGCTTTTGGGTAAAGGCTTTTACGCTATCATTTTTATCTTAGAACTTATACGAGCGAGTATATCAATAAATTTATATTACAGAATACATATATACATTAACTCTTAATTTTCTTATATATTGTAGAACTATACTTTATGAACTAGTCGCATTTGAATGGCCATTTGCTGGCGAACCAGAGGATGTTACTATATGGAAAATTGGAAATGGTTGTAAGCAGAGTTTGAATCATATCAATTGTCCACCAAAATTAAAGGTAGAAAGATACAAAATATTTAACAATATTTATTTTAGTAAAAATGTATAAATATGAGGAAATTTTTAGTGTTATACTTAAGTTGATACTACCTGTTATTATTTTTAATCACAATAAACAGAAAATTATCAACATGTGTTGGTCGCATAATATCGCTCAAAGACCACAGTTTGTAGATATGGCGAAATCATTACAAAACAACGTAAGTAAATTATGTATACCGATCAATTCTATAAATATTTTTAGCTTACCTAATATTATACAAAGTTCTATCTATCAAATTGTGCGTTAATTATTTTTGACTGCTAAAATAAATTGCCATGATATTATTCTCTAGTAAATTTCTTGTAAGCAGTCTATCGTTTAGTGAATTTATCGGAATAGAGCGTCATCTGCAGTCTATGTACTGTACAGCATATCAGCCGTTGAATTCCTCTAAGTTGCGCCTATTACATTTTTATGTAAAATCTAGTAGCTTATAGTTTTATTAAGATATAAATAGCAACTTGATTGTTTGGTAGAATATTAATATTAATAATGATATCAGTTGTCCTTTTACTTCAAGCAGAGTAGTATGATTGGGTCGTTTAAATCAACTAAAAAGCATAGCATGTCGGAGCCAGATATACTTCATAGAATTCCTTGAAGGGGAAATGAAGTGGAACGAAAAATACTAAATATCTAGATTTACTTCATCTTTTCGGGATCAATCTTGCAACTGAGTTTCGTCGCACTCTGCTTTCTTTTCAATAAGCATTAATAATTAAGTTGTTTGTATCGGTATTTAAAGCCTCTTTTTTAAATCGAATGTTGTGTTTCTACTCTATCATGATTTTTTATTACAAGTTCTAAGTATAGATTGCTATAAGGTGATATTAATTACATCTTTTCTGATATTTGTACTCGCTGTCTAGCTCCGAGCTAGCAAATACGAATGTATTATAAATTTAAATGTTGATGGATGTGTTTCCCATCTTTAGAAACGATAAATTTATAGTTTGTCCAGCATTCATAATTCCTTACATTAACCAAACTGTTTTACTTATCCATGCAATTGCTTTGCAATGGAGATTATTTTGTTTAGCAAGGCTTGATCTTGCTCCTTGTTGACATCGTATTTAAGGTATTATGTCTGTAAGAAGTTAGTTGAATATTCAACGCTATTATACGACTTATAATATTTCATCATATTGAATCGGCTTGCACTTTCAATATTACCGTGGCATAGTTATTGGTAACTATAATTTACTATCAAAGATACAAAGTTAAAAATATGGGTTTATTTTAGTTTCTAACACTGCGTATCTATCAATCTTTCTCATGATTAACTTGCAATTATTAATTGATTCAGGCGATAATGAATGATCACATTTTCCTTTGAAAATTTGTTATAGTTTGATATCAATCAAAACAGGCCTTTCTGAGGTTATACATGGGTTGTATTATACCTCGGTAGTTGCTACTGCATAGATATATTTCAGTTCTACTTCATCTCTTTTGTACCTTTTCTTGTTATTTTATAGCCAATTGAAGGCCTAATCTTGGCAGAAACGATTGATTATGTTGTAAACTATTGCTAAGCTATTACTGCTCTAATTCTACATCAAAATTCAGTAAGTTATCGCCGATCAAGTGCCGAATTTTGTCTTGTCTGTGGAATAATAAAATATCATTTTCAATATTGAAATATTGTTAACACAAGTATTATACATAAATATAAATAATATGATTGACATACGCATATATAAAAAAATTATCCCGCAATATTAAAGTCAACTAACCATTTTTGGGGGAGGGGAGGAGGGATAAAGCTATCAGATATTAATACAAATACAATTGTCATTAATGCATCTATACTCAGAATAAGAGCTCGAAAGTAATGAATTTTACAGTGGATTGAAACAGTTAATGGATATTTGAGATCTAAGATGCTATGGTAGGTTAGTAATTGTTGTGATAGTATGTCCTAAAAAAAACGTTACTTTGAAAGTTAATAATACGATGTTAACTATTTGTGGCACATTAGAGATTTGCTCTGTTTTAATAACTCAGAATTTTGAGTTGTAGCATTGCGAATCTAGAGTTAAAAACTCATACACTACAAGCTAATTACGGTAGTTGCATATTTTGGAAATACTTCCAGTAATTATATGGAGCAAAGCAATGTACTGTACAGTAATGGAAAGCACTATATAAGGTAAAATAAATGTAGACTTTGAGTTAGAAGATTGCCCATTTAAGAGTTTTAAAATCTGTTCATCGCAACTCGATTGGTAAAATAGAAATTTCTGCTATCGTAATGAGTTTCATCAGATTTAAATTTTTAGCTACGCTAAATCGAGATAGACTGCAACTTAGATGTAGTATTAAAATATTGAAAGCTATTTGGATTGCTAAAAGAACGAATCAAGGAGAACGTTGTACGGACATGTAGCCAGACCGACCAAATTACCCTGTGTACGCTGCACACTACTGTACTGTCCAGTACAGTATGACACAGCTCTTGGGCAGTCTTGAACCAGATAGTACAGTACTGTAGACCGGCAGTGCTGCACGATCTTTAGCTCTGGTTTTAGCTCTGGTTTTAGCTCTGGTTTTAGATGCTCTCTTCTGTAAATTTTTACGATTTTTATGGAAGGAGGAAGAGACTAGAGACCATAGGAGGTGCTATCGGAAACGTTAACAGTGTGAGATACGGCAATGTAGTGGAGTGATTGTGGTTGCTGTATTAAGAAGAAACGAAATGAAGATAAATTGTAGCTGTGAATTCTTTTATCTTAAAGTGAAATTGTAAGAACTGGAAGATCAACTTTATAATCGAGATTGCACTCATTGCAAATGAATCAATTTTTCAGCTAAACGTAACTTGGGCATACAGTATATAGTATTGCATGTTTTTCTAAGTGTAACTTAATCTTCTCTTTCTGTTGAGATACTAGGGAATTTACTGACAGATCTGTCACTGTAGATGATGAAAAGGGGTTTAAATCCATCATTATTTCGTGCCTACAGTCTGTGTACGGAGAGGTACGTTATATTATCTCGTCTTATACTTGTGAATACGCAAAGATCATCCATTCTTTCAGCTTTTGACGTACTTTCTATAATGTTGTATTTAAGATTGGCTCTATAATGACTGTTGATGTCTTGAAGTATGATCAGAGCAAACTTGAAGCCATCTTACGTACGAAATCTAGGTCACTTGAAACGAATTAGTTGCCTTTCGCTATTAATATAAATTTAGACTATTCAATGAATAGTATTCGTGTATCTTTCTATGGCTATTTGGCACTGTGTACCTGCGTAAATATACGCATACGCGTATATTTATACATTTTTGTCTATCGGCTTAGTTCATAACCAGGTCAAAATTTAACGATCTTATGAAATACAGCACTGTACTTTCTAATCATTCTGCAATATGATATACGAATAAGTAATTTTACTGTATAGATGGTCGGCGGATACTTATTGAAGTAATTTAACAACAATCCATTTATGTGTAATTGGGTTACTAGATGCATTTACAGATTGTACCTGATTACAATTCGTATAATTGCATCGCCATAGATTTGGGGTTTACAGTGTGATGATCCCTGCCTTATTTCTTTATTCCATTCTATATAGAGATGCTGTCAAGGTCTGGAGCTCACTTACACTAACCGGCACGTACGGTGATTATGAATGTGCTTTCAGAATTTTGCAGGTAAGCTCTAATGAGGACTTTCTGTAACTATAGCAAGCCCGAAGAAGTTCAATAATAGTGTTTTATTAATCAGATCGAAAGATAAATATGGAATATCTAGTACCTATTGCAAAATTGGGAACAACGGTGTACTGTATAAAATGTAGTAGTACCGATGATTAGATCGTGTCGTATATAGATGCAGTTCGTTTTGTCCATTACATCGGAACAAATAACTTTAATTACTATACACAGGTATCTCCCTATCTTATGTCATTGGCCGTTTGTAGTAGGGACTAAACGTGAGGTAACTACAAATAAGTTATTTACATTCATGAATATCACGAAGAGTAGCTTAATGAATTTGTTAATAATATATATAAAAATTTCATCTTTGATTTTAGCATCCGGACGGACGCTTGTGATTGGTGAGAGCTTTTTTATTATCAGGTTCTCCATCCACGAGCCTCTCTTCCTTGATACAATCGAATTTCCTTTTTAATAGATTTTCTGTTATCATTGGTGAATACTTTGGTATCGGTAAACCCAATTCGTCCATAACACCGATCATCACTTGATCAACATAGCCATGGATACATAATGACGCTTTTTTGTCCTATCCAGTAATACATGTTATTATAAATATAAAAGCTCAGAAAAATGTTCAGAAGTCTCGTTTACAAGATTTAATATATTAGAGAAACGTATTCTTAAATATTGATAGTAGTTAGCCTTACCAATTTTGTCGGTTGTAGATTACAAATCGCTATGCACCCGTTGTTCTTTAACGTTAGCAGAGGCAAGTCTCCACTCGGTTTAATTTGGAGTGAAGTACCCAAACACAAAGATAAATCAGATCGCCTAAAAACAGTACGCCATGAATTATATTTAATACGTTAATGAAATTGACTAGGAACATAATTCATTTGGTATCGCAACGGAACAACTTTCGTTCTATGTGAAACTTAGATGACAAAACTAAGGTTTCAACAAAGGCAAGGCTCGGAGCTGTGTTTACGTGATATATCACCTTAGATGATCTTCAGCTGAGAGTAGGTCTTTTTCTGGAAGAGAATCTTCCCAATCTAATATTGTATCTCTTATATAGCCTCTGTAAAAATAAAAAGAATTAAGGTACAAATCATGTACGATGATTTTAGATGATATGTATCAGCATTTAGCGGATCTGCTAGGCAAATTTTAGCCAAAAAGACAATGATAGTGTGCAATTATGACAATTACGACATGTCAGTGTATCGTGGATAGGCAAATTTACCTGCATCGATCGTTACGAGTGCATCTTGTGCCTGTCTTCTTACATCCAACGGTAACTGAGGCATGAGCATGACAGTATTCTTGATAACATCTATCACATCTATCAACAAACATGTTTCCATGGAGTTCCGATACTTTGTTTCTGTTATGGGCAATAAGAATGACATAGTAAGTTAAGTTTCCGGTACTTCATGTTTGCACTATACGCGTATAACAGAATGAATCGTGATAGTTATTAACTACGAGTTATAGTAATCACAATTTCTTTTACTGAAGTATTAGCCAAGTGATACTTGTTATGCATCAGTAGTGAAATAAAATAATTTAAACACATTAGATGTTACCTTGGGAGGCCAGATTTCCAATGTAAACCGTCAACGTTCTGACTAATTACATATTTCACAATGCCAGCTCTGGCTAGTTCGACTACTGCCATATGTGTTAAAGTAGGTTGAGCAGTTTCGAATGTAATATTTATTTCCGGTTTTTTGCCTTTTTCCTCTAATGTCCATACGCCTCGAGGGCCCCTGAGAGGAGCAGTTTAAAATTGATCAATAGAAGTAATTGGTTGCCTAATGATACCTGCTCTCTAGATTTACTGTACTGCAAGTGTTTCTTTGCTAGTACTGTACCTAATCCAATTTAATTGTACTGTACCTTACAGACTGAATGTTTTAAATCAGGGTTTTTGGATAGAGAATTTAATGTGCAAGAAAAGGCGATTATTATCGAACTTGTTACAATATCATTTATTTATTTTAAAATAGAACATTACGCGTATAAACCTACTCTACTCGTCAATAAAAGGCAGCATTTACCACAAGATTAGTGATAATAAATTACTCGTTCAATTACAGTTACAGTTGTTAGCTAAAGGCTATCCAATATATGTATTATTAATTATCACTCACCTAAAATCGGGTATTCCAGCACTGGTGCTGATACCTGCACCAGTATGTACTACAATATACTTGCTGGCTTTAATCATTTCTGCCAGTTGTTTAATTTTACTTTGTAGTACTTCAGTGGAATCAAATATCTAAGAGAACAACAGATGATATCGAAATTTTTAGCATAGTGGTATTATCGCTTGCTCGATGGGGGTATTAAGACTTCAAGATCTGAAACACATAGTCTATTTTTACTCGTACTGTTAACAATATCTTATGTTAATAGTAAAGCTGCTGTACTTTAGTAATAAATATAACATTACGTAAACAGCATCGCATATCAATGAAGTGATGACAATTACTTAATCTTTAACAGCTTTGAAAGCGGCAGCAAGCACTTATTACATCAATGCACAATATCGAGCGTAGTTTAGCGTTGTTACACAGCTATGGAAAAGTAGTGGATTGAAAGTAGAACGTATAAACTATAAGTAATACAGCAAGTTCCCAGCTCTGTTGAAGCATTTTGATTTTTGCTAGATTAACTTTCATTCGCTGACTGTGAGTTTTAAGGTCTCAAACCTTTGTAATACTATGAATCGTGAACTGGTCAGTCTGTCTTTTGCTGTATCCCTACTACGTAGTACTGTAGTATCAACAGGTTTCTTACCTCGGCTTGGCCACATTTACCCTTGTTTGGATAATGAGATAGATTTTCTGCGTAGTTTACTGACATAGTTGAATCATATTTCAAGAATGAATGAGAAAAATATTTTTTAAATTTGCCAGTTGTTCTCTAAGGTGCCCATAGCAACCCATAGTACTGCAGTATTGTACAGTACAGTATAGTACAGTAAAACAGTGCTGGGTACCGTAGTTCGACCAACAGTACAATGTCTCTATCAATTCTAAATTTCCTTACTGTACCCCTAAAAGTTTATCCACCTACGTCCAAAGAACAGTACTCATATTCTGCTTGCAGATTCATCGATATCCAATATAAGATAGACGCCATTATAGGACAGGCGTTTACTTGATATACGTAATTTAATACATACTTCAAGCTTTCAATTTAAGGTTCTGAAACAAGATCATTGATAGATTTACTTCGTCGTACATGCATCAATGTTACTGTTTATTTATTGATTGATTCTTAGTTGTTAAAACTTCTGCAATGACATACGACGAAATGATTACGTACATTATCTCGTATAGATTTACTTTCCTTTATATTATAACCAGTAAAATAGAATTTGAAATAGAATTGAAAACATCATGTAGTGTTGAATTATACTCAGTTCTGTTAATAAACTAATATATAGCAAATTAGGTTGACCATTTATCTATATACTATGATAAGTACCATCTTTCACTCCCAATACAAATTTACTATGCATCAATAAGTGACAAGACGTAAAATGATGACAATAAATTACTATTATTAACAATTACATAATTTCTTAAGGATACTTTTTCCTTATAGAAGGTAGTATAGGTATAAATCTAACAGTCATAATTTTAATTTCTAGTAGGGTGTAATCCAATCGGAATAAAGGTCTTCATTAGTACTGTTGGGTTTACGATTGGACATGCAGTGTGGTTAACATTAATCCTACCGTTAGTGTAGGAATGTACTCGTATGTCAACCAATTTCTCGAGGCAGCATAATAGAACTGCGATACTTTAGGAGTAAGAAATCTAGTTTAATCAAATGATTCTTGTAGTCGACATAGATATTTTCTTTCGATGAATGCTACGCTACTTGATTACATATATATATATTGTATATGTAAAAATACCTACAAATACGAGTAGATAGATATTATTGCAGGACAGCAATTTTCTTGATATAGCTTAACACTTGTAGCTTCGGTTTAACTTCTGAAACAAGATCATCGATATATTTCCTTCGTTGTATATGATATTCTTATTTAATGTTTATTTATTGATTGACTCCAGTTAAAGTTTTCTGCAATTACTTTCAATGAAATTATCACATAAATCGTATAAATTACTTGTAGCACGTTTTATTACTCAAAGGTACAGTTTAATATGATTAATGACATAATGAATTTATTTTTTTCGATCTAGTACTGATTATGCGAGTAGCTACTGAAATAGAATTTTGAATAGAGTTACATGCACTATGCATATTGAAATAAATTTAGTTGTGTTAATAAAATAACATTGTAAATCAGGTTCATATTCATCTTTACAATATGCCATTTTCCATTCTCAATGACGTGCGTGATGTATCGATAAGTACAAAATGTAAGATTATAAACAGAACCATCAATGTTTTTGTCTATAATTGTAGAGTGATTTATAAATTTTTTCATCGAAAGTAGCTCCATATGCTTCTCCTATGAGAGAATATTATACTCATCATAGGACTGAAACTTTACGTAACATCAACTTAAGAAATCGGTCAGAAATAAATTATTACTATTAATAATCTATTAAGGGTACTTTTTCCTCAGAGAAGGTGGCAAAAAATGTATAAATCTTACGAATCATGCTTTCTATAACATAGAAAACTCCAATTCAGTATGATATTTTATAATGAAGTTAATCATCAAACAATCTGTCAACAAGCTTCGGAAATAGTATCGATTTAAAGGTCCGATCTTCAGTACTCTCTTTCATAACCGAATCTTTTAATTTTCCTTGGTTTAAATGTTTCGGAAAAAACTTTGATCGAATCTCACTCATTTTGTCTTGATCAACATTAACAAAATCTTCGTTAATTTCTGAGCTTCCATCAGCCTTGATACGTTTCTTATATGTATAGGACTGATCTCCGAAAGACTGAGTTACCGTAATTTCTTCGTCTCCATTAGAATTTCGTTCAACACGCTTTGTCTCAGAGCTACCGTCTGCTTTAGTAATTGTAGAGAAGGAAATACTGTTGGAAGAAAACCAAGATTTTGGTTGTCGATTTAGATCGGTAGGACCATTACTTTCATCGCCTATCAAACCCTTTAATAAATGCCGATTGTCTTGTACACTTTCATCGTAATCAATATCCTGCTTTTCCTGATTAAATCGAAATATTTTGGGGAATATTCCATTCCCATCTACTGAAGGAGGATGTTGTTGAATTGGTGGTGGTAATGCACTCAGGCGATCATTTTTCGATTCAGGTTTCAGTACGTGATCTCTTAAATTACCATTGTTTTGCTGATTATTGCCATCATCTATATCGAAATTTGAAACATTTATGCTTACTCAATTGAGTTTTAGACATATCTCAGTTCATATAATTACGCATTTAGAAAATGATACATCAACTACAGTAGTATATTATTGAAATGTAATCGATTTTTGAGGTAGCACCATCTTACACAGAGTTGGTCCACAGTCATAATCCATTTAAATTGTGATATGCAAGATGCATTGTATCTACTTTACCGTAAAAAATGAAGGACTCCGGTTGACCAGATTCAGCATCCATCGGGTTTTGGAAGGAGAATCGATTTGAAAATAAACCTTTCAACATTTCATCTGCCATTCGCATTTGGTTTTCAAATTCTTCTTCAAGAGTGGACAAATTTTGGTTAAATTCATTTTCAAATCTATTCCTGATGTCGCTACGTACAAAAAGAGAAAAACAAAAATTGATGAAGTAGTCATTACGGCAGATCGTTTTATAAATTGTGTCTAGCTGATGCTGTACAGTATAACAACACCAACAGCAGTATTGATTGCTTATTGCAAATGTAAGAAAGCAAGCATACGTGTACGCGTATCTAGTAATTTTAATTTAATTTATTTATCATTGGAAATGTTTTCAAAATGCTCGCTCGCTCTTTATAAAACATGCTACAATTCGAAGGTAACCAATTGCAAAGTTCAAGATAAATTCTAGAAATACGTCGTATTAGGGAAGTAGTAGCAAAACACAACATTGTACAGTTCAAGCAAATGCAGTTCTGCCATTTTGAGCTGTGGATTACTAAGACAATATTGACGTATGTATACTTGTAATCTATGACTGACCAATAGCAAAATATCGTCATTTGATTCTACTGATCACTTATCCAGATTTACGCGTACAGTGTCCCAACTTTACTATTAATACATGACGAATACAATCAAGATATCAGTTGTAATATTTTCTACCGACATACTGCATCATCAGTTACGTATTTCATTTTAGTCATGGTCAGACAATAAGACTGATACTGATTGAGGGCTTTTACAAAAAATCAATATCTCAACATTGCATCATACATACGATGGATGTCAAAATTACAGAGGTACGTATGTTAGGAAATTAGCTTGCTGTATGGATCTGCATCACTTACTGTGGATTCCATTTGTGTTCATCAAGCCCTAAGAATGATCGAAAAGCGTCCATTAACGTCATGATCACTTTTTCAACTATTTAACATCACTTGATGGACGACAAAATGTTGACTGTTTACGATTTGGACATTCGCTAAATTGAGTACAGTACCGTTTATCTTGAGTATTGTACCCTGTGTCCCTGTCCTTTTTACGACTAGTCCGGTCCGCCCGTCCAGTAGAGTAGGAGTTCGGCGTACTGTACTGTACTGTCTAGTACTGTCCTTTTTCCGACTAGTCCGGTCTGGTTCGGTCCGCTACGCCCAGTACAGTCGTTTTTACACACGAACGTACAGTACAGTACAGTGTACTGTACATTATTAAAACGGTACTGGACATTGCAAGATTGCGCAGCAACAGGATCACCTTGTTCATATGGCCTACTGACGGACAGTACAGAACTACAAGTGTTTGAAGGAGCAAGATTGCATCGCACAGCAAGACCAGACAGCGTCAGCTTTTATCGTACGATACTGTACTGTACTGCCTATAGTATGCGTGGTACGCAGCACGTGCTCGAATCATCCAGTACCGTAAAGACTGTACTTACAGTTACACCTGTCGAAGGTTTGGTTAGTGAGCGAGTGAGCGTGTCACCCTACTGTGCTGTAGTCAGTCTACTGTACCCAGCTCTGCAACGTACTGTACTGTACTGTACAGTATACAGTACAGTATGTGCCGTTGTCGAACAACCGCTGTACTGTACACTGTACCGTACTGTACTGTATGACTACAGTATAGTAAGGGTACCAGCTGTACAGTGTACAGTACAGTTGTACCAGTACTATTAGACCTGAGAAAGGTTCGGTTCGGTTCAATACCTTTACGGTCTATCTGTACTACCATAGAGGTCTTCTAGAAACTGCGCAGTACAGTACAGTATACTGTAGTACTGTACACTGGCTACAGTAGTTTGTACTGTACTGTACTGTACTTTTCGTTTGATGAAGAAAACTATTTTTTACCTCACACACAGTCTATGTGTGGTTTCATCATTCTATCACGCTTGCGTAGTGGTTTGACCCACGCCGCAATCCGGGTGGTCAACTATAATCTGCAGGGCTCTTTCTCATCAAACGGATCTCTCTGCAGCGTGTACTGTCGCTGAAGCAGTTGAGGAACAGCACGTACTGTACTTTGTTGCCCTTTCCGCCATCTTGGTAGTCCATTCTCGGTTAATCCGTGATTAGAAATATCGACTTATAATGCTGTCTGCACGTTTAAGTAATACCGTTGGTCGGTTATTGACTGGTAGATTGCCACAGGTTAGTTATATTGCTTGATAGAGGATGATTGATTACTTTTTCCGCATTTTCTCTTGACCAATCTGTTGCGTCAAGCTTTGCAACTGCAGAGGGGTGCCATACGTTGTCCTTCTGCAGTGCCACAAATCGACTATCTTCGATTTTTATACGCGTATCCTATCCATTTTAGAGAGTGTATTTATTAGATTTGTCGCGTAGTGAAAACACACGGTAGACAACGGGCAATACATATATTTATTCACGTCACACATGGCACACCAGGTACTGTACTATGCGTGTTGCAACGTTACGAAGGACTATCGTGAATGGTGAATAGTTTATCACGAAAATGTTTCGTACTTTTAAAATGACTTACTCTACTGGTATAATTCGTGCTGGAGTAGGATTTTTAAGATCAGACTTTTAACAGTTCGATTTATAGTTACTAGTTGAGCTATCGTCGCGTTCGCATCCCTGCTCACGATTGAATTTTGATCACTATGATAAATAGGGTATGGCTCTTAACTTGGAACCTGATAACGTTGGTGTTGTAGTATTTGGTAATGATAAATTGATCAAGGAAGGTGATGTTGTTAAGAGAACTGGTGCCATTGTCGATGTACCTGTTGGAGAAGAATTACTCGGACGTGTTGTTGATGCTTTGGGTACACCTATCGATGGCAAGGTTTGAATGATACTTAAGATTGAATCTTTTACAGAACTGACGCAAATGATATGAATCTATGCAATACGACGTAATTGCATGGCTACGCTACTTTATAACTATTACTCCGTGTACAGTAATATGGATTACAACTATTTTATCTTAAAAGGGCCCAATAAATGCATCTGAGCGTAAACGTGTTGGTCTTAAAGCTCCTGGAATTATTCCTCGAATCAAAGTTAGTGAACCTATGCAAACTGGTATTAAAGCCGTTGACAGTTTAGTGCCTATCGGTCGTGGACAGCGTGAGTTAATTATCGGCGATCGTCAAACTGGGTGAGTTAACTTCCTGTACATGAATGCTTTTGACTATGGTATTTGGTAATACTGGTACATTAGCATTACGAGTCATATTATAATGAGCTGGTATATGCCTGTCGTGATTGATAACTGAATGAATATGGCCTAATATTCTTGCATTATCAATTAGTAAAACCGCAGTCGCAATTGACACTATCATCAATCAAAAGAGATTTAACGATGCTAATGATGAAAGTAAGAACATTTCTAGTTTAAGCATACGATCTAATTTGTCTTTTTATTCTTTGACTAACAATTGAAAATTTTTTGCAAACTATAGAAAAGAAACTGTACTGTATTTACGTAGCTACTGGCCAGAAACGTAGTACAGTCGCCCAATTAGTGAAGAGATTGTCTGATTCTGGTAAGAATAATGTGATAATCGATAATATACTATCCACACTATTTTAAAAACATTCCCTTTACTTTGTTCATGTAGATGCAATGAAATACACCATTATTGTGAGCGCTACTGCATCTGATGCTGCTCCTTTGCAATATTTATCTCCATACTCTGGTTGTGCTATGGGAGAATTCTTCAGGGATAACGCTAAGCATGCCTTAATTATCTATGATGATTTATCCAAACAGGTAAAAGAAATATGATATTTGGGAATGTAGGTACAGACATACCATTCTAAATATTATTTTTGTAAACTCTTCATTGAAGGCTGTTGCATATCGTCAAATGTCTTTGTTATTGCGTCGACCACCTGGTCGTGAGGCCTACCCTGGTGACGTATTTTACCTTCATTCCCGTTTACTTGAAAGAGCTGCTAAAATGAACGATAGCAATGGTGGTGGCTCTCTTACTGCATTGCCAATTATTGAAACTCAAGCTGGTGATGTATCTGCTTATATCCCTACGAATGTAATTTCAATTACTGATGGACAGGTGATGATTAGTTAAATTTTTGCAGTCTTTCAGTGAATTTTAATTAATATGTGACTGCCTAATCTACCAGTATACCAAACGGTAAGTAACCCAGATATTTGAATAATTACTCTATAGATTTTCTTGGAAACCGAATTGTTCTACAGAGGTATCCGTCCTGCTATCAATGTTGGTCTATCGGTTAGTCGTGTAGGCTCTGCAGCTCAGACTAAAGCCATGAAGCAGGTTAGATCACTTTCTACTTATTAATGTTTTAGCTTGTGAGTAGCTAATACCAATAACTTATTCAAATAGGTGGCTGGTACGATGAAATTGGAGCTTGCTCAGTATCGTGAAGTTGCCGCTTTCGCTCAATTTGGTTCTGATCTTGATGCTGCTACTCAGAGCTTGTTGAATCGTGGTGTTCGCTTGACTGAATTGCTAAAACAGGGCCAATATGGTAATGAGAAAGCATATAAAGATTATGTAATATCGATAATACCCAAGCATTTAACTAATGATTTTGACATTCTCTCTGAAATAATTCATTATAGTACCAATGAGTATCGAAGAGCAAGTCGCTGTAATCTTCTGTGGTGTAAGAGGACATTTAGATAAGGTGGAACCTGCTAAAATCACCGCCTTCGAAGAAGGTTTCTTGAAATACATCCGTACTAATTATCAAGCCGTTTTGGATTCTATCCGTGAGCAAAGCCAGATTACGCCAGATTCCGAAGCTAAGTTAAAGGAAGCTGTGGCAACTTTCTTAGAAACATTCCAGTAAATAGCTTGAGATAAATATAATTAGCAAATGTTTCATAATAGGTATTGTCTTATTTTGCTTTTACACACCCGCTGTGGTCAATAATTATTGATCAACATTATTCGTATGAAATTGTTGATTGATTTGTCTATTTCTATTCGAAATAAAGATTTAATGATGTCATACATTGAGCTCTTTCATTAAGAGTAAAATGATTATTTCCTGAGCTATAATTAATAAGACGCAAGTGCTGTAAGAATTTTTTTGTAGGCAAATTGATCTATTCACTCTAGTTTAGCTTGTACTTTGTAGTGTGTTTTGATTACGTCAATATGGTGTCTTAACTTAACTGCAATATCCCTGAGTAATGGATATAGAAGCTAGTAACCATACATTATACCGCAAACAACTTCAAATGATCATGATCAGGAATTATACTTTTTAAAAGTGATGATAACAATGAAAATTAGTTTTATAGTGATGCATGTTGCAAGACTAATACCGTTTGTTTTAGCACTACCATAAATCTTACAAAGTGATATGATCTCAACACGGCATACTGACAGTCAAATTTCATCTACCATCCAACTTAATTTATTTTCATTATCGCCCATCATAATTTCGCACATATCAACGTCAATCTTCATTATTACCTATGATTATTATTTATCAATAGCTATAGTTTACAATAATTAAATGTAACGATATTTACATATCGTAACACTACAAAGATTATCGGTATCCATGTTCGTATGCATTTAATAGATGTATATTTTATTTCTTTTACGATCCTGCTAGTACCCTCTGCATTCGTATTATTATACGAGCTGCTATCGCCGTGATCATAGCCACTGATCTTATCATGATTAATATTACTCATATAGTGACCATAAACTTTCAGATCTATGGTAAATCAAAAGTTGATCAAACTTTCTCATTTACATTGTACGGTGGATATGATTAGATAGACCGTCTATAATTGTATTATTTGATGTTACCTGGACTAGCTAGTACTTTTCGTAGCCACCGTCAGTAGTTACAGTAAATTTTTATTGATTACCAATCTGTTAATTACTCTAGTTTCTGGGTGTATGTCGTATATTCTTCAGTCCTAATAAGAATAAAAGATAGACATCAATGAATGCAGCACGCTAGTCAATAACTGGAAAGAATATTGATCTAAGTTCTAAATGATTGAGAATATTGCTTTATTATAATTATTCATAAACAATCTCAACGGTAGCCGTTACAAACTTATTTGACTTTTTGTAATTTAATGCAATAAGGATGATTATATATTATTTAAAATCTATGGTATAGTTAAGAGTTGCAATTTTTTTTCCATTGTATACACATTTCTAAATAAAGGATTTTAAATTCCAAGTGTAAGAGACGTATTAATTGATATTGTGGCATTTACTTGAATGCAATTATGCTTCACTACGAGTATACATGTATTTCTCTTATTTACGCCTACAAATCCATATTTGTATCTAAGTAGGATTAATGTACGTGTATAAAATACTATGATGACCTGTAAGGAATTTGTTCAATCTGCTATGAATAAAGTCTCAGTTTACTACATCATTACAATCGAAGTACTGATCGCATGTATTAGTATCGTGAATCTAAGTCAGTGATTAATTCGCCTCTATACGGCAATACACGATATTTTACACAATATCAATATAGATATAAAATAAAAATGATCATATTGTGATAATATTAATGGTAAAATGATTATGAATAATACCAATTAATGCTTTAATGGATTTCTTCTGTCAATTTATCGCATGACTATTAATTTAGGTTAGTCATTTAAATTTAATCTATGCCGTCTCTTGCAAAGATTTCCCACTAATAATGCATCTTCATAATTTATATTGATTATAATTTTAGTAAATACATCCAATGTGAATGTGAAAATTAGCAACATTTAAATCATTAGTTCTAAATTTGCAATTAACTCTTGAGAAGCTTGTGTTGCACTGAGAGCGTATTGTTATATTTAGTATTGACAGTGTAGATATAATATGAATTTGCAACTTTTAGATGTTCTCTCGCGAAAAAGTAGTCGAAAATCTAGCGAATTTTTGAATCGTTTGCTGTATCTCATATTTGCACCGACGTAATTAGTCAATTCTATCTATGATGACATAACAATGATCAAACTATTCTTTACAGAATCTTAGGGGTATTGAAAGATATACCCTTATCTAAATTAATTACAACGAATAACTTCAAAATTATTTTACGAGGCAACGTTTAAAGTATGTTCCAATATTTGCAATTTAATTATAAGGATTTGAATAGCATTTTTTAAGCCATCTTTAAATTTACTTTGAATATTTCTAATAATTCCAATGTTTATAAATGAAACGGCAATATTGAAAGTATTTCCCCATAATCTTTTCTTTCAAAAATTTTGAGGTTTACGATATACGCTGATATATTTTATATTTAGTTGCATAGACCAATAGATGTGACTATGTGATGTAGCAAGATCAGAAATATTTTCTCCAAAAGTTAGTGATTGAGCAGCTAAGGATTTGCACTATATCGATACTGCTTGATAATATTTTCATTGGTTATCTATCATACAATATATAATGGGGATAAGTCTTAAAAAATCTTTCTTATCTCTTAGCTACATATTTATGCAACACGTAGAAACTATACGACCAATGCAATAGGCGTATTATGAATTTATATTGCTTAAAATTATTTATTAGGAGTAATTGCAGCAATCTATTGATTAATGACATATTTTTAGCTTTAGCTCTTATCGGAGGTTTACATACTAAACTGTTGCGCTGTATCATTAAGCATATTACTGTAATCAAATAAAATCATGAAATTAAAATATCGACGATCGTCGTTTACGTTGATTAATTTTGATTTTTTTACCTAAGTTCGCAATATTTTGATTGACCATCACTCATCAATTTTAAAGTGTTGCTATGGAATCTATTGCACCGATTAAATTTATAATGCTCCTATAATTAATTATCAAAATTATATTAGTACAGCTGTAGCTGTGCTAATAGCTGTGCTGATAGCTATACTAATTGCTGTGCTAATATGTATTGAAATTGCAAGTTTGCCAGAGGACATAATTAAGAGACAAACAATATAAAATCATATTTTTTATATACTGTCTTTTGACCCCAAAAATGACTCATTTGGACTCATGTTGTAATTCACTATAGCTAGTATTTTATCCAACGATTGTAGACGTCTACGCCCTTAGAAGTGAAACATTTATTTTTCAGCTGTAAATTCAATATCATGTCTTAAACTAATAGTATACAGTAATATGTGGTATACTGTATACAGAATACAGTACGCTTATATTATATTTTATACTAACTTTCTTCGCATTGCATAGTGCATAGTTGGCGCCATCTCCAAGTCCATGACAACACACACTAAGTACGGCTAGTAGCCAGAGTAGTAGGAACTACTAGGAATATCACTAATACAAGTACCTTTATGCTGCAATAAAACTGCGACATTGCTGATTGAAGCGGGCTTTAACAAATGAGTTAAAATTGGATTTTGGGTTAGAGTTAAATTGAACGGGAGAGAAATTTTCAGATTTCAGGTTTCGGGAGTGAAGAAGAAGGAAGTTACAAAATATTGTAGGATAGTGTACACTGTACACTAGAGACCTTAGGAGTGTGTGAGAGAGAGAGCACTATACATTGTACAGTATACATAGTTTGGGACCGGCCGAAAGGGTTTTACTGTAGGTAATCGGAAGTACCTGAATTTGTCCTAATTTTTTGCCTAAGAGTTGCTGACTATGAATCGTAGTGTCTAGATACATGAGTTAATCGGTTGCTTTCGTTAATTTCCAAACGTACTCCGTATGAAGCCTGAGAAATTGGTATTTCATAAAACACGAATATCATACTATCACGTTCTGCAACTCACAATATGGTTCAGCCTCAAAAAATCATAATTCCAAAATTTTAAAAAGGAATTTATTGACAGCGTAATGAAACTACCAGTTCGCAGTTAAGCTTTGGAATTTCTCTTTATTTTGTTTACCTGAACTAGACATGCTATTGCGTAGTATAACTAACTATAACTTCAATATGTATATTTTATGAAGCGTATTGCTTAACAAACAAGATTCCATAGGACGTCTTCAAAAGATCGGTCAGAGGTTTGGTTCTGTATTATGACGGTACAGTTATAGTGCAGATCTACTGCATTACCTCATCGAGTCGCAAACCCTATTTTTAGTTCCAAGTCTTGCTGAAATCATGTGAATGGGGTGATTATCTGTGATTGGCTACAAGACAACCGGTGTTAGCTGATTGGTTCAAAAATTCGAATTGCGCAAGTCAGCCAGGCTAAAATTGTGGACCGCGCGATACCAGTCTCAGTACAGTACCTTACGTTACACTATTTGTACCGATAAATACGGGTTACATCTTCACGATAGCGTTTATTATTATTGTTAACAGTTACGGGTGGTTCGTTAAATTCAAGATCTAAGTATTCTTGGATACAATTGAAAATTTGCAGTTAAAATCCAATTTCCCGTTGATAATTGATTGACTTTTAAAGAGAATTTTCCTTGAAGCGTCGATATGGCTGAAAGAGATTGTTCCAAATGTTTCTTATGCTTTTTCAATCTAATAATATGGGTAAGCTGTTGACAGAATGTACGATATTACAGTTGAACTTGACTGATGTTCTCCAGGATGCCATTGCTCTTTTAGACATTGACGAATTAGTCATTCAACTTATTTTTTCCAATATTTGCTGTAATGTAAATGTCGTATTAACTGCTTCTATGTTATTTGCCTAATTTTAATGAAATCTTCTATATGTTCGTAGACACAGTTTCTCGAATTTCCTTAACGTTTACTATGCAAGTAAAACTTTTCATAGTTTTGCATATACTTTACAGTACTGTATTGACTATGTAGAATGTACTTTACCGTACAATACAGTGCTAGAGTGGCAATCGACGTTATGCCATGTTTTTGAACACTAACGTTATAGTGCAGTAGTACTGTACAGTGTAAGTATACTCTGCTGTATCCAAGGCAATAACAGTATGACTAATAATGCAGACAGTCAATTTTAAAAGTTTTCAAAAATTTTTAAAGTTGAGCAAATTGATTAATTAACACCTCTTACGTCCTATTCTAAAACAAAACCAGTTGATCGGAAATCATGATGCAGCATTTCTTCTCATTTTGTGATGAGTACTCGCAGATTGACGTATACAGTACAGTATGCTCAAGGCAAATAATTAAAATTATCACTTCTTTTGACTGCATTTTCACACTCCAAAGTTTTACACCTTCTAAATTCATGATATCAAAAATATTTAAATTACAGTCTTTCATGACCTACTGTACTCTCTATAGTGCAGTGCAGTACGGGACTTTTGCTACTAATCTACAATGCGTCTTGGATAGAATTAATTTATGTGTTATCTTGCTATTGGTAGCTGGTAGGTGTTGCCTTGATCGTTTTTGGTGGTTACTTGATGGGAGTATATGGAGACTATACATCTGTTTTAAATGAACAATATACTGTATTGCCGTTTGGCATCATTATCGGAGTCGGTGTGCTATTTTTCTTCTGTGCTGTTCTTGGTTGGTGTGCAGCGAGCAGAAATTCGCGTGCATGTTTTGGAGTGGTAAGAAATATAACCGTATCTATGTTTTGCATTAACAGATTTCTAGAAGAAGCTATAAGAAATCATATGCGATATTGTAGTACAGTATATCTACATTGCGTATTATTTTTATTTACTATGAATGTCTCTATATATAGCACAACTTAATTGATTTCATGTCGACTTGTATTTAGTTTTTCTTTATCCTGTTTGCCATCTTTGCCATGGAAATTGCAGCAGTTGCTTTGGGCGTTTTCTTCAAATCGAATGTGAGTTTTTTGTTTAAAGAACAACTTGTTAATTTAATATTATATACTTTACAAGTACTAATTAAGCTAAAATAAAAAATAATCGTTATGTGCAATAGATATCGGATTTCATTGGTAAAGATTTAGAAAATGCCATCAAGAATTACGATACACATAATGACCATGGCATCGACAGAATCGTTGATAAAATTCAGGAATTGGTATGAATTACCTAAGAATAATGCCTAGTGTTAGCACCGTGTGCGAAATACATTTGTCAAATGCTCTTTCTAGTCAAATTATCATGATACTGCATAGATGAAATCTTACCATGGATTGTTATATTGTAGTTTCACTGCTGTGGTAACCACAACTACACCGATTGGTCCAGCTCTCCATTTGATCATGTTTACCCTGCGTCCGTACCGGATAGCTGTTGCAAAAATAGAACTTCTGGATGCGGGAATGATTCTCTATCTTTACCACGAAATCAAGCTGGCGAAATAATTTATATCGAGGTATGGAGTTTATACGATTGTTGTTATTATTCAAAAGCTAGAACTAAATGACCCCAGTGTGACGCATGTATTTCATAATCCCATGAATATTTAGGGTTGCCACGACGCGATCTTTAATGTCGCTCATGACGATATGGGTATCATTATCGCAGTCGCTGCTTCTTTTGCCGCAATTCAGGTTGGAAAGCAAATGTTGATAGCATATTTTTGCATCAAGGTCGATTCTTTGGTTATAGATCTTGATTGTAAAATTTTAATATTGAATTTTTCATTTCTTTCTAGATATTATGCATGATTTGTACTGTCTTCATAATGTGCAGAAGATCTAATGATAGACTCATTAGTGGCTATGATATCCTTGGAGATGGTGTTGTGGCATAAGTGTGAAAAAATTATCCATTTCCCATGATTATAATTATTTACTATATGATAATGAATATAATATGCTATTATTCCGATGTTAACCTTATTAGTAGCAGATAATAAGTAATCTAAGTAAACAAAACCTAGACGCGTAGAGTAATTCGAACCGTAAATAATTTCTCTCAACTAACACGATGCGCTGTCCATAATGTATAAAAGAATTTACTCTGCTTGTAGTGCCTAAGAGTTCGTATAGGATTATATTATCATAAATGCTACTGTTGCTATTCTAAAATATAGAATTTATCGATTATGTTAAAATTGCGTAATAAGCTTTACTGCAGCAACGTGTATTACTTGTTGAAAAGTACTGTAAAATAGGTACTTTTATGTTTGCTATTCTACGTAATAAGGTGCAAGCAAGTAGTCGAAATACGGAGCGACTATATCTTTAATAACTGAAATGATAAAAATTTCCATTAGATCTGCATTCGCACTGGTTTGTCTTGCGTGTATTAATTAGGCAGATAATGATATACGGGTATATCAGTGATCTTCTGTTTAGAATAGCTTACTGTAATAGATAAAATATGAAACTGTACAATATCATTGGGCCGTTATTATTTAGCATCTCCGTGAAGAATAAATTACTAAATGCACAATATAAAGGCAGATTATCGTTTTTATTATGTGTCGTAGAGTTCCATAAATTTATAGCATAATTGTTGAAGACCTTCTTCATTTAAGTTTGGAGAAAATACCTATAGTATATTATAATGAAAATTTGGCATGTCTTAGTCCTGTAGCTGGAATAATATCCGATGATGTAATAGTAAAAACATTGGTAATATTGCAAATCAGCCTACAACTGCATAAAAATTTAGTCACTTTCATCATTTACCCTTTCAAATGATGTTTGAAGCAGTAGACGGTATACCTAGTGTAGGTGTACGGTACCACGCTTTACGCGTATACTGATAATAAGATTCATACATTTTTATCAACTAAAGCTGTATCTTATGTTTACGAATATTAATGCACTAGTTTCATCTAGCTTTTAGTAAAACAACAGATAATTCAATTTATCAAACTCACATTCCACCAGGGCTTGGTACTGCCTTCACTGGGAACTTCGATATTATTACATTTTACTGCTAAATAAATTACTGCGGTAGCTATAACTGAAGGGGGATATAATAATATAAAGGGCAATAATGATGTATCTTGTAGTAGTTGCCAACAAAGTTGATTTATGTGGTTAGTTGTCCAGTTCGATTCACCACACCAATCTTGTAACGATTTTAAGTAATGTAAAAGATACTAAGGAAAAAGAAAGCATGGTATGAAATTTTATAACAAGATCACATTGTTAGTAACAATCAGTAGTAACGATTTTTAATAAATATATAATTTGAGTGGCCTGATGAAACATTATACACCTAAACTGTACACTAGTGTACAGTTTTATATATATATATGCACGAATATTTTCTACCTTGTGAGGTAACTCGGAAGAGACATCGAATTTGAGCATTCTTAACATGAACAATTCAAAGTTTACTACGCTGTCCCTTAATTGCCAGTAAAAGCTGTCAACTTTCAAAATCGGTTTCTCCTTATGTAGTACTCTAATAAAGGATTGAAATTTTTATATTTCATTTCGGGGGTTTATGTAGATAGTTAGATATTTAATTATGGAGTAGTCGCTACTATACATTCTTCACTAAATTGCAACGGATACACATCATTAACATAGGCAAAATAGCTACTGTATTATCTTACTTGTAGGATGTTGTTATCACATCTCGCGCCCGACGCGGTGTATCTTCAACTTTACTAGCTAAATATAAGCAAGTTACAGCTACAAGCTGATAGAAATAGATTTATTGCATAACTTAGCAACAACATTTTAGTAAAATGGTCATTGTTAGGAGTGCAATTATTACTGTATCATTAATTAAATGTTTTTAAAGATTTTCTGCCTTTCATTTATGAATGGAGATTTCAAATGCAAGTCTGATGTTAAACTTTTCTTAGTATACAAAAGGCTTACATAACGGTCGAATTGGCTAATATCACATAGGAAATAAAAGCGATGATAAATGGTTGCAGCTCTTGCAATAACAACAGATCCAAGTTTCAATTTGATACCTACTCGAATAGAATATACCCGTATGTACAATACAATGAAAAAATTTGTGGGATACAACATTGATAAGTAATAATAGCCGTAGCGCTATGAATTGTTAGATACTAAACCAATTAGTTATGAGAGGAACTATGAAAGCAAGACATTTTATTGGTAAGGCACATCACACAGGTAAATTCGCTCAACATTACAATGGTAAAGAAATTTCTCATTTATCTACGGTAATAAATTCTACACATTAATCATCAGTCTGCACTCTCCTCTTATATTAGTCAAAGGAGTCTGAAGTCAATAATAATATATTAATAATATTATGATTATACTCGTACTGTAGTTATTTAGTGATTCGTAACGTTATGTTTACGAACGGATATGCAAGCTGCAAATGTGATTACCCACTACGTAAGTCTACATCCATAGAGAGTAGATATAAGATTAAACAATTGTATCGTATGCTACTTCGATATCCAAGTCTGCCTTGATCAAAAATCAGCTGACGGCCATTTTAACATATAGTAGTCATAGAATATACAATTATTTACAGATAATAAAGTTCATGCACCTGCCTTTGCAGTTATTTCAATTTCTCCATTAGCAATCCTATCGTATCTACCCTAGCGTAAAAAGGTCAATATTCTATGATATATACCTGATTCAGCAATAAATTTACCAATCTTTAGGTATTCCGGCCAATGGTCTTTATCTTCTATTAGCTGCTGAGCGCTTATTTTTACTACTGGTGGCATTACTACTTTTGATTTTTCGCCACCATCAGCCATATTGAAGCAGCAAATACCTAGCTAGTGGCTAGTCCAGTGTCCGCAGTAGACTGAGTACGGTGTTGGTGGACGGATGGCAGTCCAAGCAGTTTATAGTACAGTAGTACCCTAACGTACAATATGGTAGTGTAGTGTACTGTACTGTACACTGCATACTGGAGTGCAGGGCAAAGAGCTATGGTACGTAAATAAGGTTGTACTGATTTAGTTTTTCTGCATCAAAAGTCGAAAATTGCTAATCGTATTGGTGGAGCTATCAAAAGCTAAAGTAATTTACAGTATACTATATACTTCTAATTATGTACAGTATAAGCCCAGGAGATGGACGACTTCAATACTAAGCAGACGTCGCTAATCTCTCATGCTCACCGTGTCAAGTAAGTGAATATTGTTGAATCATCAATCATTCCATCGCAGACGAGTTTGCATGGCATTGAGAGCATCGAGTTTAAAATTAATCAAATGTAAACTAACAGTAAATTGAAACTTTTTTCATTACTCAACAAAAATTGATTGAATCGATCATTAGAGTTAGTTCAGTCCTCAACAGAGCGATAAAATCATATGGTAAGAATTTTATGTTTGATGGAAATGACGAAACGTGTTGGAACTCCGATCAGGTAAAGATATAATAGTTGAATAAATTTTTGCAATGTTTAGCAGATTAAGAAATGTTCAGAATTTCAGTTTTTACATAGCAGTTATGGCCAGTGAACGCAAATCGCTAAAATTGATTAGCAAAGCTGATACAATTATACGTATATCAATTTGCAGATCTAGCTCTGGTTACCTTTAATCAGACTACATGTAATCTCATCCTAGTCCTTATGATTATGGTGATTGCTGAGAATAACTATAACTGAAAACTTAAATGTTATAGTTTGAATAATCATAATTTGCAACTAAATAACCTAGATGTGTTGTAATTTATTCAATAAAATGAATTAATCTAGTCTCTTGCTATAACAAGAAGTGGGGTTAATCATTAATCACTGTGTGTATCAGTAAATCAGAAAGGATCGAGGTAATTCAACTGATAATTGAACTATATTGATGTTTTATTATCTTTAAAGGGATCTCCGCAGTATATTATGATGGCATTTGATGCTAGGGTGAAAATAAGCAGTGTAGGTATCCAATTTCAAGGTGGATTCGCCGGTAAAGAGTGCAGGCTTGAAGGAGGATTGGATAGCAAAAACCTACATCATCTACAAGATTTTTACCCAAAAGACATAAATTCTTACCAAGTATCTTTTTGTATTGCAATATTTTAATTCTCTTGCTATGATTGCTAGTGTGTAATATGTTAATTGTGATGCGATTCTACCGCTGAAGATATTAAAGGACGCATGTACAGTACAATAGCTTAACGTAAAATTTATCTACTGTATTGTGAATTGCTTCCTTGACTTAATAACCATTAATAGATATTCGATGGAAGTGCAAGTGAAGAAATTGAATATCTTAAGATAATATTTACAAGTAGTTCGGATTTTTTTGGAAGAATAACAATCTATAAATTAGATGTGCTTGGTAACGTCTGTGAATGATTTCTCACATCCGACATGGACAAGAATAGCAATCGTAGCTTATTCCTTTCATTAATTATGTATTGATACTTTTATTATAATGTACGTGGAGAATTCATTCATTGGTATGAAGAAAGGTGATCATTGAACAGTAATTGGGATGAAATGGGCGATGCTAACTCCAGTATTTAATTTGTATGATTGCAATGTCCGTATAGCCTTATGTTCGATAGTTTTGCAAATTCTAATTTTTAGATGTCATTTATCTTCCTGTCGCAGATTAAACTATACTTATGTACATACGAGTATATTACTGTAGGGCACTACCGCAGAAATGATACCAAGATCTCGGTTTTCTTAGTCATGCTGTTACTTAGTAAGTGCAGGTGTATGAAAGCGTGTTGCAGTGTATAATAATTCAAATAAAGCTTACACAATAAGTAGATATCATGATGTTATACCAAAGAATTTATTTAGTAATATAGCATCATCCACACCGCATCAGAACTGTTAGCTTTCAGAGAAAATTAATGCTAGTTATCTGGGTAAACGGTAAAAACAATCTAGATGTTGTATCCACTCACATGGACGGCATAACCATATCATTAATAATTTTAAATTTTACAGTAATTAACAGCTCTTTCCATCAACTTCCGGGATTATGATGAATACAGCATTTCAAAATAGCGTCCTAATTTTGTTTTAGTCTGCAAAATAAAGTATTAACTTAATTGCACATTATGAGTTATAATAAAAATGACCGACTTTGTTGAACCAAATCACTAGAAAATTGCGTTATAATAATCTATTGCTACATGAAATAAATCTAAAGATACATTATTAATTAATTAGTCTTATCAGATAGCATCTAAGTGCAAGTATCTTTGTCTATATTTACTGCCACTAAGGAAATAGGAAATTTATACCGCACGATAGATGCAGTTTGTTTCTTAGCTGACCTATTCTTCTTCTTCTTTTGGACGTGGTGGTATCTTATTCTTGACAAATGGTATGTACTGAATAACTTGTTCCCAGTCGGTAAGATATATGAGGGTAATCAATCCGGTAGCACCCCAAACAGCACCGGTGGTAGACCTAAAATATTGACGAGAGAGTAAACCTTAGTTGATTTTATATATTTTACGCATTATTTACGCGTATGCTCATGATGCTACAAATACTGTACAAGTCAGACAACATTTACAGTAGAGTACAGTAAGAAGGTTTGATAGAGGCCACTAACTGACAATTGAATATGAACATCCGCATGTTCTCTTAGCAATAGCGATAAAAATTTGGATGATTAGGATATCGTTTACTAAATTTGAAGTCTATACAGAATCACCCGAACTTGATACTATAATATATGGCTGACCATCAAAGTTATTATTCTTTTACTACCATTTTGCTGTCACTACTCAGTATCGCGTGGGACTGGACATCAGAATAAAAAGTGCATTGAAATTCAATACTAAAGTAAAGCATGAACAAGGATGTAATTAATTCCATATTGTACTGCACATTTCGGTCAGAAGATTAATTTTTAAATAAGCTCTCGCCTATCTTCATAACGGTGTTTCCTTTCATTAATAAAAAATCGTATCCCCTGAATTCTGTATAACATATGAATTGATTTCTTATATCATTATCTAAGAAACCTAACCGTACAATATACTGTACATACTGTGCAGTAGTATACAACTACGGCATTTACAACCAGCGCAACGTAATCATAGACTTACTGAATTATTGGTTTACTAAGCTGTTTTCAATTCAAAATCCGTCGCTATACTGATCAAACATTTACGAGACTATAAAACATGCTCGAATACTTGCGAATTTTTCTTCCACAGGATTTCCCATATGTACGTTAATAATCAATATAAAAAGCTCCCTTTGGCTTACCAGCTCAATGCCTTTTCTGTTGTGATTCCATAAACATTCAATCGTGGGCTTCTCTGTGCCACAGATGCAAATTGACGTCTGTTTAAGTAGCCTAGTCGCGCAAGCATATTCTTACCGTTCCTGAGAGCAGCCATCTTGGATCCTACTAGTGTGATGCAAAATGCGAACTGTTGCCTGCATAATAATGGACAGGCGCACACGGGACGATTGTGAGTACAGTTAGTACCGTACCGTATCACTAGAACCAGTACCTATACCTACAGTACGTACAGTACAGTGCTGTAGTCTACAGTAGAACTTTTCCTTTTAGTACTGTACAGTGCTGTACTGTACAGTACCACTAACATCTACAGTATGTACAGTACAGTAGAAATACTGTACTGGTAGAGACTGCACTGTGTGTGGACGTACGTGTACACTCAGTAATAGAAAACGCGTGCGCAACAGCTGGCATGTGTCCACGCAGCTATATTACCGATCTGCGGACGTAGTATACCATTCTGTATAGGTTATTACTATGGCACGGCGCAGTATCTTTACTCAAGGATTGTTTAAATCCTTAGCAAAAATAATGTCGCACGCCTAGGCCTAAAAATGGATCGCATGCTGTAGGAAATTATCACTATGGGTGACATCACTTTTGGTGAATATCTTGACGTACTGTATGCTTTACTTCGTCTACTGCAGCCATTATCCGCATGCGCCAGCTGCTCAGCTCCTCAGACGTGAACAATATGGAGAGCCAGATAAGTAGTCCAGTTTCGTCTCCGACTGTCCGACATAAATCGGGTACAGCATCATTTACATGTTAACATAATTTTGAGAGCATTTCTACGTTGAAATATTACAGATTAAATGAATTAATTTAATGGATATTATAGTGGATTGGTCCTCAGAAGCCGATACTGACCGATTATTTCGAGATAACAGTATTGATCAAATTCGTAATCGAGAAAAGAGCATTCGGTATGTTATGAAATTGATCTGCAAATTGGTATGATTGTACTACCTGCTTAGTTCTAGTTGGTTACATTTTAATGATGTTAGATTGACATTATACCACACCACTGTATAGTGTGTCCATTAACGGTATGAAATACACCTAATTTAATCCTTCTGTTTGAATGAATAGTGGTGATATTGAAAGGAAGAAAGAAGAGCTCAGGCAAATGGTCGGGTAAGCAAGCCACTCATAAAAGTTAATGTCTGATTGCTATACATATAGTTGATATTATTAATACTGCTAGATCAGCAGGTTAGAGAGTGAGGTAGTGGTAGTTATGACTATTCTATAAATGTATGATTGTAAATGACTGTCTTTAATGGTATGTCATATGCCACTCATGGAAGAGGATTCTGTACATATGCATGTAGTTGATGCTATTGATATTGCTAGATCGATAGGTTAGAGAGCAAGGTAGTGGTAGTTGTGACTGTTCTATAAATGTGTTATTATAAATGACTCTCTTTAATGATATATCGTATGCCACTCATGGAAGATGATTTGTAACTGCTGTACAGGTAGTTGATGCTATTGATACTACTAGGCGAGTAAATTAGAGAGCAAGGTAGTAGTAGTTGTGACTATTCTATAAATATAGGATTGTAAATGGCTCTATTTAATGGTATGTCTTATACTACGTATACTTGCTATACAGCACATATTATTATACTCCTATGGAAAAGAGATTATAAATGTCATTGTACGTACATAACTGTTTCAGAGAAAGGTACCGCGATTTAATTGATGCTGCTGATACTATCGCCGCAATGCAGGTCTCTTCTTCTGAGGTGAGATAAGACAGCACGTAATAAATAGCACAATTGCTCAAATATTTATAATTAGCCTCTTCGATCAATTGTTCTCAAGTTAGACGGCGATTTATATTGCACAACATGTTATATGTCAACTAATGATTCATCACTGACTGCTTGATGTCTTTAGGTTGTTAAAAAGTTGGATGATATGAAGCATTACTGTTATGAAATTGACGCTCTACAAGCTAATTACAATGCTACCAATAATTCTGGAGACACTGTAGGCGTAAATGGGTAAGAAGAAACCTTAATTAGCATGAATATTGATAGATAGAAAAAATACCTATGAGTAAGCATATTTTACTATATTTGGAGAACCATTGAATGAGAAATCGTTACACTTTTTATCCAAAGTTACAAGTTGATCACTAATAGATGCATTATTCCATTATGACTCACTTATGCTTTCATCTTACTATTTTTGCAATTACAGAAATGTTAGAATTGGCAAGGATTCATCTACCTTTTACAGTATCGCAACACAGATGAAGTTGCTAGTCGATATACCAGAAAAGGTAATAGAAACCCATTGCGTAATAATTGATATCACGATTATAGGACAGCGTACTCTTTCCTTATATGTTCACAAATATGCATCCATTTTTATAATAAGATCTACATCATTCATACTATGTAGATATGGAGTACCTCGGATAAAAAGAAATTTTTAGATGCAGCTTTACTATATCTGTTAGCGCGCCAGATTGTTGATAATTTACAAAAGAGTATGACTTCATCGCCTGTTAAAAATTTATTGGTAAGCCCGTACAGTAATGCAGAATCGATTAACATGGTTGATTCGAAACACGAATTCCTTACATATAATAGAGGATCCAAGTTACGCAGCAAGCTAATCTTTTTGTATATGACCTATGATCTCAATAGGCTTCTTTTCCTATCTTACCGCGTCAGTGGTCGACTATCAGCCACTACGTTGTGTCTATTTTGCAGGTAGAGTAACAACAAAGAGTGCTACTTGTTTGTAGTTAATTTCAATGTGGTATTTTGCTCTATTTCTTTTAATGTTTAAGACGATCTCTAGGCAATGAAAATAATTCTTATTATCAAATAAAATTTGTTTTTTGTTGATAGGACATCCGTGAACGATTAAAAATTGTGGATCTACCTGAACAGGTTGTTCTTTTATCTATAATACTTGAATATCTAATTAATCATAAGTGATGTAAATGTCATATATAAATGATTAATTAATGTTATCTCAATGTATATATATAATTGTGAACAGGATATTGGAGAATGCTTATGCGCTATATTATTATTAGATGATCAGTGTAAATTTCCTAGACAGGCTTTTAAAGATTTTCTTATCGTCAGAAATGTAAGTTCATATTGATCGGATTGGTAATGAGTTGATATTATAGCTCTAAAATACTAACACTATTTTGCAATCTGATTCATTTGTAGACGTTACTAGAGACTTTACTATATTCAGATGAACACAGTAAGTAGGCTAATCGTGAATACTGTTATTTTAATTATTCTACAACTGACGTTGCTTTTCCCCTTCCTTACAGCTGATAGTATCAAACTGCAAATCCGTGATGTTGTCTCAGTTATACGATTAACTATTTGCCAAATCTATAAAATCTTCTACGTAGCGGAAACCGAAGATGCGTCTAGTATGTTATCTAAAAATGCGTAAATCATTTATCTAAGATTAGTTGCTATATTAAATTGTGCGACCCTATTCTTACTCTGCTTCCATTGCACATTAAAATCGATTGTTTCATAATTCGTATTACTTCTTATTATTACGTCGAAAAACAGCTGGTTTGCTGTATACAATATTAAAGGACATTACTTCAAAGGATGAATGCAATACATCTGAAGGTTTATATTTAGTATTCTGGCATTATTACTCTATCTTACTGCTCCTTCATAGTCATTTTTAATTTTAAATCGTATGATATTAATATTATACTGATTATGGCATTATTGATTAAATTTTATCCTGCTTTAGTATTAAATGTGCTCATCGATCATGAAGTGTATAGGATGACGATATCAAGGCATTTACCTCAATCCGTCTTAAGTAAGGATGAATGTCGTTAGAAATGCTTATATACGTTTCAAAAATTATTTATTCGTACATTCATACCAACTGTATTAATTTTCTTTTAGAGTTAAGACCACGGATATTTTCGTCTATGTCCTTAATAAGTGTTGAAGACATTCGAGAAAGTTGCCAAGAATGGGTTACAATGTTAGTTCAGATTATGATAAAATATTTAAATAAATAATTAAAAGAGCGTTTCTTTAACTCAGGATTACACGAGCTGTGGTTGATGGAGTCTCAAGACTGTTGGCTTATGTTAGCAGCATCAAAAGTTTAATGGCAATTAGAGACGCAATTTGGAATCTACTAACCGATGTTCGTGAAATTAATTATTACATATAATGGCATTCTCGCTGATATCACTATATAAGCTTGTGATTTTTTATTGTTAATATAAAGGAATTACAAGGAAACGATAACTATCCAGACTGGGATTCCATATGCATAGAAGTTTTAGGGCGAAAGTTATCGATATGGGACGAATTTTTAAAGGGATTATTTTTTGAACGTGCAAAAGTAGTAACAATCTTCATCTTCCTGTATTACTTACTGTAAATTGCGTGATTTTTAACTCCGTAAATCTTCGTTGCTTTATAGACCATTACTCAAAGTATGTTTGATAATGCATTCAACGTTGCAGAGGAAATGATTACGGAAGGCTTATTAGATCTAGATGGTGATCAGAGCATGGTATGTGATCACGACATGTCAACGTACATCTGGCAAGAAAGTTCATATGATATGCCTTCGGCCAATGCATGGGCTAGTTCTTTCGAAACTGAAAGTGTAAGAGAAGAAACAGGTGGCTTAACTTTAAAGTCGAGAGCTTTCACACCAAGCGTGCACAGGTATTTTACGTGTGAATATGCGTGTAATATATATGTATATCCACATGTTACAACAAATTATTGGTATGAAATCTATTGGGTATTTCTAATTCATCATAGGCTCTGTAGAAAATTCGATTCGAAACTGAGAAAAATACTAGAAGACTGTAAATACTATGTGCAAGACGCAGTATCTATACGGCCTACTCCACTTAGAACCACTTCTGAATCTTTAGCATACGGCATTACACATTCAGCAGCTTTGCCCCTGAAGGATAGCAAAGTTGGTGCCTTCGATAAATATGCCGGATCAGACGAAATGAAGCAGTTTATGAAGACTACATGCGAAGAATGTATTAAGAAGTAAATTGAACATGAACAAAAATATTATTAAAGTAACAACTGGTAACTAAAATGATAACCTTTTTTATAGCATTGCTGATGAAATTAATACTAAACTGGATGAATTGCAATCTTCTATGAATGATGAGACGGTATCAAATGTGAAACGAGCTTTGCTAATTGACAGGTATTACAGCAAGTGTTTGTTATTGACATTATTCTGTCTAGAAGTATACTTAATGATGTCCGCTCTAGTAAACTAGAAAATACTCAAGATTGTACTTATTGCAAACAATTGTTTGGGAGACAATAATCTATCTAGTTATTTGTTATTCTTTTTTCTGCTCTGAAAAGCAATAAGCACCTTTTACTCTGACATTATCGTATTTAAGATTACTTCATGATCTTTCTATTGTATGCAGTGTTTTATGGTTAGGTCGAATTGCTCGTGCGATATTGGAGCAGTGCCCTAAAGCTAAAAAATTAATGACAATTGATAAGGATCAAGAAAACACTGCAGTTAAAACTAAAAGGTTTGTTGTAATTTTTAGCGAGAGGTCTCGGCTGTTAACCTATATGATGTTTTTTTTTAATTTTTAATTATATTAGCTTAAATAAATGGTCGTCTACTGCCTCTAAAAGATCAAAATCTATATCCTTGGAAGTTGAAAATGAGCAGCGGTATCATCAACTGTTGACTAAAACTTATCATCGAGCACACAAGTAAATACATTACATAGTTTGATCCAAATCTCATTGTGTAGCACTAAATTTTCTTTACAACTATGATTTATGAAATGAATGATTACTACAATTATTTATGAAATGTATTATCACTATTTATTATACAGCATTTGGATTGAATGGATTACCGATTTATTGCTAANAGCTTTCCGTCATAACTTATTTGCAAGTGATGATAGTCTCACATTGNCTGCAGCTTTCGTTTGCTCAATTCTTTTTCTAACTTTTTAATGAAATATGTTCTAATATTACATAGAGTCAGATATTGAGTAGTACTTAAATTATGTTGCTTCATTAAAGTAAATAATTGATTACTAGATTAACTCTGGTCTTAAAAAATAAAGTATTTCGTAAAAATCTGTACACTGATAGCGTATATCATCCTATTATTGGGTTAACGTAGGTCAATTTTGCAAAATCTTGTACATCGACTGTCTTCAGGAATCTATGGGATTTACGAAGATCACTTAACCAATGAAAAGATTGAATCAGAGCGTGACCTTAATGTTAGCAGTGTATTAGAAGAAGGTGTCGAATCTTTTCAAACTGCCACGCCTGAAACGAAAATTACGCAGACTTGTGCAATTCAATTCCTTTACGATATTCAATTCATAAATAACATTCTAAACTGTCAAACTGATGATATAACGGTAAGCTTCTCTACTTAGTGATGCAGATTATGATGATAATTTCAAACGTAACATTCGTTTTCTTTTGCTGGCCAATAGACGTCGAAAGAATCATATAAACGAGCCCAAGACTTAGTTGAAAGAATTGAAGGTTACATTGATCCTTTTGACCTAGATGTTTTTACGCCGTATATCAAGTCAAATTTAAACCGTTATACTCAAAGATGCATGGTAATACATACCTTTATTGATGTAATTGACTCTAATCTTACTCTGTGATTTTGGATTTGTGGCATCATCGTTAAATTGTTTCTCATGACAGGCTCTGTTAGGTTGTTTAACCTGTATAAGTGGTCAACCACCAATCATCACCACAGATAGGACTAGTCATGCAGCTGGTCAAGAATCACATAATGTAATGCCCTTATCGGAACTATCAGTTCGTTTTTCTCTCCTGCCATATAGCACAAATGCGCAACGAAATAGTAGCAATAAGAATGATATTAAGAAAAGATCAAGGAAGCTTAGCGAGGTATATTCTAAAGGGATATAGACATAATGACATCAAGTGTAGATGAAACATACATCGTATTAGTACCTGTGAAAGATAGTAGTTCAATATGATCAAGGAAAGTATTTTTTATCTTTGCATAATTTATTTTATGCAGTAAAATATAATTGCAATGCTTTAATCTATATAAAACAATGTTCGTAGTTATTCTATAGTAATGTGGATGTACTTAATTTTTCGTAAACGATGGTCGTACTAAATTTGTAATAGCTTTTAGTTTTGAACCTGCTTTAAATCTAAACTAAAATTAAATTTTCATAGCCACCTTCCACTGGTATAGCAGAGGCCCATGGAATACCTGAAGCCACAGCTAACTTATTTAAGCGTGTTGAATTATTAGCTAGTTATGGTATTTTTGACGACGACGATACAAACACTGGATAGGAAGACAATTTCTGCAAGCAACTAAGCATTACAAACCCACATGATGAGATCAGATTTGTCACATTCGTAAATATCTATGGATGTAGGACTACAATAAATTAAGTGTTCGATTATGTATCGCTTTACTAGTGACAATTCGCCGATACATTCATTATGGACTTAATGATATAATAGCATATCATTAGTATATTTATGAAATTATGAAGTCTAATAGTTTATTGGGCATTTAATCTGACTCACTGCTCTCTAGTCACGAAGAATACATTAGATGATATTGGTCAATGGATTAATGCCTATATGTATAATGTCTCGTTCGGCGATCTACTATTAAGACACATTGAAATTTTAATAATTATATATAGCGCTTCGAATGAACAACGTTACTATAGTCTACACTGGTAGTTCAATTATGTTCGCTAACCTAAGGTTATAAATTCTTTGTACAACCAAATGCTATTTTCATAACAATATATTTAACAAGTCTTTCAATGTACAACAATTTACGCCGAAACCGATTTAATAATGATGATAGTATCTGTAAACTTAAAGTAAACTTGGCTAGACTAATATATAAAAAGGTAGCTATTTTAGTCGCCAAGTATTATCATTACCAAGCTAATAGATAATTATTATAGTCCCAATAATTTAATTATGTAATATTTGATAGTGTTGATCTACCAAGATTTCAAGTTAATGATCGTTACTTTTATTTATCTGGGTAGATTTGTATATACATTGTAGCATCTTGCAAATGACGATAATAAAACAGTAAAAGTTTGAAAGAGAACCACATTGGTGGCCGCAGTTGTAGGCTTTAAGATCTTTACTCAAAACTGGTCTTCCTTAAGTTGTATAGTTCTTCCGGACTGAAATCCAACAAAATCCTTGCTAATAACTAATTGCGCTACTACTAGTTTACAATATTATAGCCTTTATTGGTTTAGTCTGATGAAACATCAGCTTTTGCTTCAATAACAAGGCTTGTGCATTTGTAAATAATTATAATTTATCGTATATACGATGACAAATTTCTAGATATTGCGAAAGCTCTAAATATTGCTGGATAGCAATAAACTACCCATCGCAGTGATATTCTAGTATTAGGCCCTTGATGTTGCCTTACTCTTTGTTATAGCCTATTAATATAAGCTCCGACTTATTTGATAGCTTATTACGATCTGGCTTGATTTTGAATGATGGATTCCATTTTCCCCTTATGTTAAGATTTTACCGTACTGTCTTAGATTATATCGAAAAGCACAGTCGAGGATTTGACGGGCTTTAAAACTGGTATAGAAGCTAATTACACTTGTTGTACACACCGAATTTCGTTTTAATAAACAAAAGAATGAAGTAAGGCAATGAATCTGATAATTTTCAATAATATTTTAAAATCCTTAATACTCTTAATCGAATAAGCACATAAAATACATTGGTCTAAAGTTCCTTAGTGATACCTCAATATGACATACAATTCTTAAATTCAATTATTTTGTAATATGTACATATTTTACCTTTATATAATAAGTATACGTATCAAAGCTTACTGTTTAAAACATTTTAGAGATAATTTGAACCTAATTTAGATTATTAAATTCAGTTCCTAGAACTAGAGCATTTTTGTTTTTATTTTTAATGCAATAAAGTTGTATAGAATTTGCCCTCAGGGTGATCTAGGAACGACTTAAATATCACAATTGGAGATAATTAAATCCAATTCCTAGGAATGGGTGAATATTTTAAAATTTAATCTAATGAGTATGTGGGACTTGCTCTTCTGAGATTCTAAAAATAGTATAAGCGTCATATATACAATTATCGTATAAAGTTTTATCCTTGGAAGTTGGAATAAGCGAAAGAACTTTTACTGCTAATCTAAAACATAAAGGCCAGGCTTTTACAAGATAATATTATAATCTAAAGAAAGGATCAAATATCATAAACGGAGGATATTTAATTTTTAAGTTCAAAATATAGTCAAGTATTTCAACTGTAATCTAATAATCGTATAAAATTTGTGAATTCAGGATACCCTGGAAAGGATTGAAGCGTCATAAATAGATTATACCCATATTCAATCTTTAGAATAGGCCAATCTTTTGATATAATATCGGTACAGTTTATTAGAATTAATTTAAGTGGGTATCCTAGTAATTAATTACAGTGGGCGTTACAGATAAACCTTCAATACGTGAAAATAAATACTAAAAGTTTTTTCCATGACTCATCGTTAAAATAGAAATTGCGCCCTATTCTTCTTATTGATGATGCAATATTGTATATTAATGTTTGTGTATTCTTTTTTTGGCTATAGATCTAAGATTATAACCGTTGTTCGAATGCAGTTAAATAAGTCATTCAATAAATAAATAAGAATATGTCAAGATAATTTTTTAAGTAATCAATCAATCATAGTTTGATATAAAACTAATATACATCAAGCAATGATCCGAAGTGTGATATTGATAAATAAGGCGATTTTCAATTAATATGTGTACACTATAAGTGTATCAAGCTGATAACTTGAGCATGCATAGCTTTTACGCGTGTATCCTAATCAAATTACTCAAAATCTCCTTAGGATGCTGAATGTTTAATACCTTAATTTAATTGAATAGTAAATTTAGACATTCTCATATCTGAGTAATGACGTAATATGGCGCTATTGAATATTTTATGAAACGTATTTGCTGAACTTAAAAGTTTCGATCTTTTTATGTCTATATAAAGTAATTTAAATAAAGACTAAAAGCTGTTTATGCTGTCAATGCAATTAAATATAAGCAATTACTAAGTCTTACTTGATCATTGACTGATACTTAATCTGTTATTTCTCATATCAAATGAAAAGAATTGATACTGTAAACTTCAAGCATTTACAATAGCGCATGCCATTCACAGTTGGATTGACGTATAATTACATAAATTTCATTAAGATAGTTCTAACTTAATCACTTATGTACGTTGTTTACTGCAACTAATATATTTGCTTTTAATGATAGCTGCTGTTATTTCTCTTGCAGTTGTAAATAGTATCTGTACAGCACATTATTATTTCAAAGAGCTTCACTTTTCTGTACCAGTACTAATTCTTAAATCAAGTCAAAATTTATTGTACAAGATCTAGTACAAGTTTATTCAATTTTTAAATAAGTCAATACAACAATTGGATGATAACAATTAAGTTGTATCTACTCGTATTAGAGGATAGTAACTATAAATATTTCAAAAGTTATAGAACGAATGTGGATATAGTTCTACTTATACCATAGAACAGCATTTATTCTGAACAACTGATCCATTTACTACAGAATTGTATTTAAATTAGCTAAATTATATTCAGTAAATTTAGTTCAAAATTCAGCAAATACACATTCGCAGCAAGTCATACAATATTCAAATATCATTTTATTGCACTTTATCAGTATTTTGTTATTAAATGGAGTTATATATGGCATAGATTTATTTAGTTTCTTACTGTGGAAATGATTTAAATCAAAAGAATCCCAATTTGAGTTATATTGATCAAATTAAGGCTACTTTCGTGTCGAAATTTTAACTCTATAACTGTTTAAAAACTATAGGATTAACTCAGGTACAATCTCTTTCTATATATTACATAATAATAACAGAAAATCTTGTTAATATGCTATCCAGCTAGCGTACATTAATGCGAATACAGTGCCATTTGCTGCACATTACATTGTACTACATCACACCACAGTATATTATACAGCCATACTATACTGAATACTGACCTTCAAAGCCGAGTTAGAATTCCCTAGTAGCATTTACGAAGCGTTTTTTACATGTTCTATTAAATAATGAGACCCTACAATAGGGCAGTGTTGCAATAAGCTCTTTGTAACAAAAAGGACCACTAGATCCAAAATTGTCGTACTCTCTGAACCACACTTGGAACAGTATCGATAAGAAACAACTCAACTAGCCAGTTCTTCGCTAGGGCCGATCTAGTAGAATTCCTTATCAACTCATGATCTACATGTAATTTTATTATTAATGCATACAAGCTTTATATACATTTTCTTGCACTAACACGAATATCGTACATAACGCGATACAGCTATGTGTGGTTGGCCAAGGTCAATCGGAGTCTGACAACAGCATGAAGATTGAAAATGAGGCTTCGATAATCATAATATTATTCTGATACAAATTCAGAAACTATAGCAAAGTTTATAAGAGAACCTGCATGCATAATAATTTTATCGTAAACAATAACTCAAGAATTAAGCACACTTCATGCACTTTTCCAGATATACAACGTTGCAATAAACTGCATCTAAACACCTATCATAATAAATTCAATATCTTACTATAGCACTGAATGTTTCATAAAAAAATTAGTTACAGTGAATAATTTACGCTGTGACAGGCAGTGTCACAAAATAGCTTTCGTGATCGGACCTAAACTAGTCTATCTACCCTACTTAATCTCCGACTAACTTCGGGATGTTCCTATGAGGGAACTAACCCATTCCAATATTAAAGAATTGAGTCAAATGATAGGAATTTAGGTTGATTGAATTTTATTCACTACTAGCTATTGTATATTGCATCCATATTTTTAATCATACCATATGAGTGTATCTTTATCGGACTATTCTGCGAAGGAAATATATTACTAGGAGACCTAATAATGCTGTGTAGCTACTATATACTTTACTATTTCTCTCTTTTAAGCAAATCTCAATTTATGAAAATACCCTTGGGAAGAGCTTTTAATATTAAAAAGGCTTTTCAAGGTATATAAATATTAATAAAAACAATGATAAATTTCTTAGAAGCAGTTACATTTCGCTGTCATTAATTAATAAAATTGCTAAACAATTAACCTTTTTTTAATAGATTTTGCGGAAAGAGTTACTATAGCACGATACCTAAATTGCTTTTCTTCAAAACTTTATCTACATTTTGAATTAAGGTTTTTTGTCACAAATAGTTGTATCAGATAGATGATTAAAAGTAAGTGTTATGAA